TCTTGGCAGGGGGTTGGACTGGATGGCCCATGAGGTCTCTTCCAACTCTTTGATTCTATGATTCTATGATTCTAGCGCTCTGTATATCAACAAACTTTTTTCAACCAGAATTGGAAAAAATATACCTTTGAACTTATGCAGAGCTACTGACTGAATGGCTTTAACCGAAGGAAACTTAACATTTAAGGATCATAAGGATTATAATTCAAGTAGTGTGAAATAGTTAGTGCATACTGTTAAGTATTCATAAGAATCATCATACAAGGCAATTAAAAACAATACCTTTGAAAAGAGATAAGGCTAGAGTTCATTATAGCTGGAACTTTATGTAACACAACGGACACAAATAATTTACTGTGATGGTTTCCGTTCTCAAAAATACCAAAGAACAATCCCTTGTTGGTTAAGGATAACAGTCAATATGAAGCCAGATGTTTTAAATAAGCTAATTTGTACTAATGTGATCTCAGATACTTTCCCCTTCCCCAATTTGTTTGCATAACACTAGCAACACTAAAACTGTACTGTCTATAACTTCAAAAGAGATGGTTAATTTCATATAAGGGGTCAATACTTAAAAAAAGCAAGTATCTGTCTCCAACTGTAGACAACAACAACAGGAATGAATACATATCACTATTCAAAAAGACATTGCAGCATTATCTCTTCTTAATGTTCATAGTACTGCTGCTGCCATGTTCCATCCCTGGCATCTCTAATATTTTTCCAGTTGCCTGCAGCTGTTGCAATTCATGACCATGGAAAGACAGATCAAAATGCCTGTGACTGAGGCAATGAAAATCAGGATCTCAATAAACGTTTAGTAACAAATGGAATTTTTTAAAACATGGAAATTGCAGTTATTCAACCAGTCTCCGTTTCACTAGAAACATATGGCATGGATGGAAAAATTGATGAATTGTGAAGCATATTTCTGATTACTTCAAATGTCTATTTCACTGTTTTTACCACTAATTGAAAATATCCAGTAATTAAAAATAGTTGTGCGGCATATCATACTTTGGTTAACAAACATCCAGGAATTTCTGCCCAGATCAGTCCTTTACAAGTAGGAACAGCTGGCCTCAGATAGCTACCATGTTCTGCGTCCTCTGTAACAAATTATAACAAGTAATTTTGTTTATTTCTCCCATGTAGTTATGTGCGTATGCCATGTGTAAAGCAAATCTTAGTGGATCAAAATGCTCAAGAGCAGGTTTTCTGAAAACAACTGTCATTGCATGAGAAAATCAGAGACAGAAATATACACGTTGGTGATGCTTCATTTAATGGGGTTGAAGGAGTAATATCCTTTCCAGCACTGACCATTTTACAGTCATTGCAGCCAATAAAATGCACTTTTGCTTTCAGTCCCTGAAGCTGTTTGATATCTATTTGAAGTTTCTGAGCAATTCATCAGGGGTTTTGGAGTTTGGTGCTGTCATCAGTATCCTGATGACAAACTATTCTTTTTCTTTGTTACCAGAATCAGCTGAGGCTGTTCAGGTGCTGGAATGATGCTGTAATGGGATAAATGAGGGCCAATAAACCGGGGTCAAATAGACAGTGGCTCTTCTGATTGATTGCTTCTGAATCCTCCTGAGAAAGTAGATGCATAATGTGGGAGCCCTTCTAGCTTAATCTTGGTTATTAGTGTTCAAGTACACCCTGTGGCCCTGAAAGCTTAACTTCAAATTGTATGCAAGATGTGGTCTTTCCTTGACAGGGATAAATTATATCACAGTAACCCATGCATTGGTCACATGCAGAATAGACTACTGCACTATGTTTACTATAACTTCAGCAGCAAGACCGCTGAGCAGAATACCATATAAAAAAACACCCAACATTAATAAAAGAAACTGTGCTGAATAACAGTACAGTCCAAGTCTGAATTAGAGGTGCTAGCGATGACAGGTAGAGATCTGAAAGGTTTGGAAGCCCAACACCTATATGTATCTAACAACAACAACGACAACAACAACAACTTTATATGTATCCCACCACCATCTCCCTAAAGGGACTCGGGGTAGCTTACAAGGCAGCAAAAATACAATCCAAAACATATACAATACAACAAGAATTTGCCAAAACATTGAGCAGCACCAAGTAACATAAAATAACAACTTACAAAAATTAACAGAAAGCATCTCAATTAAAATAAACTAACCAATAAAATACAAAAAAAATGTAGTTAAAAATGAACTATACAAACCAAGTTTAGTGCCCCTGCCACAACAGGTTAAAATATCAGCATTAAAATGACGGCGTAAAACTTCATTCTAATTGCGGTCATCTGATTTAAATGATACTTTAGCCATTGAAAGAGAGGAATAAAAATAATTGCGTGGCATATCATAGCCGTGTCTTCAGTTCCCTCCAAAAGCACTGAATTGTGGGGGCTTGCCTGATTTCCCTGGGAAGGGCATTTCAAAGCCAGGGGGCCACAACTGAGAAGGCCCTTTCCCTCGTCCCTTCCAACCATGCTTGAGATGGGCGTGGGATCAAGAGGAAGGCCTCCCTGCCAGATCTTAGAGCCTGCACAGGTTCGTGGGGTGGGGGGCAGCCAGTGTTCATAGGCGGCCATTGGAGTTGTTTTAATAGGGGCGTGGTGTGTCCCATTCCATAGCCTGGTTGCTGATCTTTGTGCTAGTTGTAATTTCTGATTTCTAAAAGAAATAGGATACAAGTGCTATAAGGCATGTAAATATATAAGGATTATCTCAAAAAGAATTAATATGTAAAACAAAATAAGCCTTGTGGTGGTGATGGGAATTGTAAATGTTGGGTATGTGTATGTCCTAAAATAAATAAATAAATGTTAAAAGTAGTTGTAATTTCCAGGCCGTCTTCAAAGGCAGCCCCACATAGAGTGAATTGTAGTAATCCATTCTAGATGTAACTAAGGCATGGACCACCGTGGCCAGATCTGGCTTTTCGAGGTACTGGCGCAGTTCGCACACAATTTTTAATTGTGCAGAAGCCCTCCAAGCACTGAGTTCTGCAGTAGGGGGCTTTCTCTATCTCTAACTAGCAGAGAGAATTCTCTGTGGGGAGACTTGGAGGAGCATGATGCTAGTGTTCCCTTAAAGATCCAAAATGACATTGATGCCTTCATTTGTGTGATAAGTTAAAAATGAGTTTTTACTGAACTCTATAGGTCCTAATCTATTTCTTCCCAAATATTCACCTACATGGTTTTAAACCATTTTAAACTTTGAAGTGTTTCAAGTTAATTTTGTTATTTTTGTCAATTTAAATAATAATAATAAAAAAACTTTATTTGTAGACTGCCCTATCTCCTCAAAGAATTTAAAGTTTATGCTTTAAACTTTATATTCTTTTAAATTGAACTTATTTTACTTGCACGCTGCCCCGTGATCCCAAAGATTTATGTTTAAAAAACAAATATTTCATAGTGCACTTGAAAAGGAAAGAAAAATGCTTGCCTGTATAAAATTGCTGAGAAAATGTCAATGAACAGAACCGAGTCCTTGCCCTCTAATAGTTTTTTGCTTGTTATTTAGAGCAGATTAATTAGAACAGTAGACTGGTGTAAAGAGTTTAGTAGAAGGCTATATATACATATGAAAGTGTGGGAGACTGTGGTGTTAATGTGCACATATACACAGTGCTTTCTCAAGCTCACTTACTGCTGGAGCCATAAATATAAACTGCTAATTAAATGAGATGAAAAGACCACCAGAACAGACATACCTGTGATTGAAACACTCCCACTGTGGAAGCCTTTTCTTGCAGGAACCCTGCTAAGTTTATGGGAAAGCTTAATACATGTATTGCATTTGCCTGAAATATATCATTAGTGAGGAGCTAGAATCTATGTTGAGAAATTTATAGTCTAGGATTCCAATCCTGTGAAAATTTACATGGGAATAAACCTTATTGAACTCAGTGGGATACATTTGGAGTAAACATGCATAGCGGTCTGGTTGCTATGTACCCTTTGTGATGATTTAAGAAACAAGTATTTGAACACACATGAAAAAACAAACTTCTACATATAATATCAAACATAATTGACTACATGTGGTTTTATAAATGCATGATTAAATCGATTATCCTTATCTAGATTTTAAATGTTTTGATCCAAATTCATGGAGAGCATAAATCTCAAGTTAGAGTGTCTCTTCAAAATAGTAAAGTGAAAAGTTAAATTTACAGAAAAACATGAAATTATTACTTAGTTGGGACCATGGTAAATAGAGACACCGCATCGAAGCTGATCAGTTTGCCATTAGTATTTAGCTTGAGGTTGCTGATTTTTTTTCTATGAAGTGGGTTGAGTCCTTGATGTAGTGTGTAGTGAGCCCAATATGGGTTTGTAACTGTGCTGCCAAAAATTTTGCTAAATTGTATGTGGGGGATCCAATGACACTCACGATGGGTCTGAATGGGGTGGAATTCTTATGGACTTTTGAGAGTCCATAAAGCCTAGGCGAGAGGGCTTCTGATTTGCAGTTGTTGGCTTATGTCAAAATTGATCGAGGAGTTCTTGATCAGTTTTTCTGGTTATTTTGGAAGTTGGGTCTTGTTTTAGTTTTTTGTTTATTGTGGAATCTAGGAGTTGTCTGAGCTTTTTTTGTATTGTTCTGCTTCCATTATTACTATGGCATTCCCCTTGTCTGCTGGTTACTCACATCATCAAACTGTGTGTCACCCTGCATGTGACTTCTCAGATATGTAGCATAAAACTATGGAAGCATTTTTAGAGATATTCCCCATTTATTCCTTGTATGGGGAAGCAACCATTACAATTGGCTATGGATTCCCTTTTAGGACTCAGACAGGTATATATGGAAGATTGTGGTCCTATAGATAACCTGGACCCAAGCTAGCAAAAAATGCTTCCCTTCCACAATTATTGGAAATGATGCCCACCAGCACGGTGCAACAGCCCCGGTATTATAATAGACAGACCACCACTGAACTGAATAATGCTTAAGAATACATATGAACAAACAGTTTTGAAAAGCACATACCTTTCAGAAAAAAAGTTTCTAATTTGTCCTTAAATGGCTGGAGATGTTCTTCAGGTGAGTCTCTGAAAACCACTTTCATCTGTTTTTCACAAACTGGAATGAGAAGTTCGGTTTTACATTTTTTTAACCAAAATTACAAGTAACAAATGTATCATACTACATCTTTTCTTGTACAAACAAAAAAGAGTATGAATTGAGATAGCTGTTTCCCATCACAACAGCATAGGTATTATACATCGTTAAGTCCTTTAAAGGATAGTGATTTTGATGATTTACTGCAACTACATTCTTGGCAAAAAGACTCAACACACACACCTACACAGATGCTTTCAAATTAGAAGTTCTTAGCCAAACTGAATTGTATCTCTACAAGGTTCTGTAAGATTAGAAAAAATGTACTTTTTGGAAGTATCCAGATAATTTAGAAAACAGTTTAGTAAAACAATGTAATGCCTCAAGAAAAACGGTTCTTGAAACATTTGACGTATCTGAGAGTTATGATTTTACTACTTCTATGATCTCCAAGATATAAAGATAGTTTGAACTCAAGACGTATAGGGCTTTGTAGTTAATGACCTGCAACTTGAATTGTGCCCAGAAACCAACTATTGCTTTCCTCCATTCATAGATACATTCATGAGTGACTTTTTAGCATCAAAGAAGTCTCTTTTGGCGTAATCAAAAGAAAACAAACAAAATTGTCACATGAGCAAGACAACAATAATCAGTATAATCCATAACACAATTATATCTACACATTCACATTACAATTATTTAAATCTACCCAAAACTGAGAGTGTACTTCCACAGTATTTATATTTGTACCTGCACCACCAACCCATGAGAAATGTGGCAACCCACCAGCCTGCAATAAAACTCCTGGATCTAAGTGGCTGGGAAAATATACAGCACAATCCACATATTGTAGAGCTGGTATTTGCAGTTTCATTTATTCATGTCCAACAAAATATGTCTTATCTAGGCATATTTTAGGTCCTCCAGTGCAAGTTTATGGTATCCTTGTACTTCTGGCAGGTTTTGCTATTAATTGTGGTTTTGCATATCGATGCAAAAACTACACCTGGTGCTGAAAAGATGATAATGTCAGATATCCGAGATGAGCACTAAAAACATGGGGCTATCTAACATATCACTCCCAAATTGTCACCACTGAGATTTCCTTGGAGGGTCTCAAATGCCAATCTTTGTATCTGGGTAGATTAATATTGAGGAATGCTGTCCTTGAGATTTTGGGTTCATGAACCCAAGGTGTTTCATGTCAAACACAGCAGAACACTAGAACATCAATACATATCTTTGTTTATATACAATCATATTGAAAGTATTGAGGGAAGGTGTGGGGATTTAAAACATTTTTTAAAAAAGAAGGCCAGCTTAACAAGCCACCGTGTTGTGAAGAATTTATAATGATACTTGTTTGCATATAATGAGAATCCTTCAATATCCTGATGAAAATTTTCCTATAGCATTACACAATGAAAATAACTGAAAGAGTACAAGATCTGGGCGATTACTGGTGAGTCAGTGATAATCAGTTAATATTTATTTTAGTTAGCTCTAATGCATGTGAAAAGTGGCAAGAGATAGATGACATATAGGCACTTTTCACCAGTTACATAGATAGAAATGTGAGAAAGACAGTGATAAATGCCTTGATAAGAGTTTTAAATGTGTGTAACTTAATATATTGCAGGTTTGGATGATTTTCAGTGAACAGCTCCCAATTCACATTACTACTATAATTGCATAAGGGAATACAACAGCTACAACCTATACAGCTATTTTTGAAAACAAAAGTGACTGTGCACAGTTTTGTGGATTAGGAGATCTAATACCACATACCCGTGGGATGTTCAGTCCAGATTTTCTTGATAAATTTTGCTTAACTTGCTATTCCATGTATTCTGTATAACAGTGATGAATTACTGTGCAATGGGGAAAACAGCACAATTATTTGAAGTGGAATTGTGACTAAAGCTTCAGTTCTTACACAGAGCAAAAGATTTCTCCAACTCTGGCAAGTCCCAGCCTTTTCAGGGAGTGTAAAATAAAACGGGCCTCCTGTTGGCACAGCGGGTTAAACCACTGAGCTGCTGAAATTGCTGACTGAAAGGTTGGCAGTTCAAATCCAGGGAGTGGGCGCTCATGCTGGCCACATGACTATGGAGGTGTCTATGAACAATGCCGGCTCTTCATCTTAGAAATGGAGATGACACCAGCCCCCAGAGTTAGACTTAATGTCAGGCGAAACCTTTATCTTTACTAAAATAAAATGACATTAGTATTAAGTGGATCTTTTTTTTTTTACTTCTATAACAAACTGGTGGTTTCTTATGGGAGAGACAAGTAGTGAGGCACAGAAAACATTATCCTTGTGTCTCTAGGGCGGTTTGAAGGAACAATACTCCTGGTGCACTAAATAATGATTTCACCTAACTAGTGCACATGATCTGCTTGTGGATATTTAGGTCCAGGCAATATACAATAGCGAAATTCAGTGCAATTCCTAGTTGTGAAGCTAGCTAAACAGGCACCAATGTGCCTAGAGACCACAAGAGCAAATGAAACTGGCACAACTCGAAATGGAAAAATGAAGCTCTACTACTGCAATGTTTTTCTCCACTAACCTTACATCGGATTGAAGCCATGAACCACAGGTTCACTACCAGAAATTGGAGGATGGTGACAGTTTCCTTCCCATCTGGATGACTGAAAACATCATGGTGCTCCAGCATTTGTAGGTTAACCATATGTTGAAGATTACTTGATGGTAACTAACAAGGTGCATCTATACTGTAGAATTAATGCACTTTGATATTACTTTAACTGGCGTGGCTCAATATGGAATCATGGGAGCCACTGTAGTTAAAGTGATATCAAATTGCATCAATTCTACAGTGTAGATGCACCTTAAGCTTGGTTGTTTCCCCCTCTTTCACTATCTCTTTTTTTTAAGATCATAATTTTATAGGCAATGACACTGGATGTTTGTGCTCTTCTGTAAGAAAACTTGACTTTCTTAATACAAACAGTCTCGAATATAGCTAGAAATTTAAGCATCATATGTTAGCCACTTTACAAAGCCATTCACTATAATACACTTCAAAATTTATTCTCTGAATATATGCTGTGTGATGCATCAAGCTAAAGTCTAGTACGGCAATTACTTAAACTCCCTAAAGTGAGTGAAATGTACCAAGAAGCATTATTAAAAATTCCTGAACTCATGCACTGCTAGATGTACATTATGGTTCCCATAGCCAAGCTCAGAAATAATTAACACACCATTAAAGCATTGCTCAAACTGCTGAAAGGAGGCTTGCCACTCTCTGCAGATTTAATGTGATATTTAGCTGAATATTATTTTTATTTAAAAATCCCCAAACAAACTAAAATATTTACAAAAGTGAGTCTCTTCCTTAATGTCTGTTGGGCAATAGTCTTTTAAAACTCCACAGACACTTGTAAATCTGTCTAAAGAATCATTATGTATAAACAAACCTTCATGCAAGGAGTACAGCAATGTCTGCCAGGTAGGAGTTGGTATTTTTAAATGTCATTTTTAAAGTAAATGTAAAACTAGAAATAGTTCAGTGTTGATAAGAGTGAGTTGCTGAACAAATACTTGGATCTACCAGTAGCACTTATAGGAATAATCCTGACAGTGAAGCCAACTATTTAGCAGCATGGATCCCTGTAAAGCTGTCACTGATACAACCCTTTATTAACTAATCTCCAGTGAAAGTTTCTAACTGTCACTACTGCTTGTGCATCTACTAGTATCTGCTTCAAAGTTGACAAGTAATCCTACTGTATGGGTATTCAAGATGTACTTTTCTAACAGTTCATTTAAAAACATGTGCATCTTGGATGAAAGCCATACTATTCAGATGGAATTTTAAAATAAGAAGAAGACCTTTTTAATTATTTCACAATTGGATTAAAATTAAAAAATACTGATCTAAGTATAACTCTGGGCACCTAATTTTAACACAAAAAACTGGGAAAACTTTTTGACTTGAACATAAATTGGGGGTGGGAAATGAAGCAGCTACGCAGATTACACCCAACTCTACTAATACTTTCCTCCTAATTCCAAGGAAGCCTCCTGCGCTCTAAACCAGTGTCTGGTAGCTGTGATGGACTGGATGAGGGCTAACAAGTTGAAACTCAATCCAGACAAGACAGAGGTCCTCCTGGTCCGTCCGGGGGGGGGGGGGGTATTGGGGTATTGGGTGGCAACCTGCTTGATGGGCTACACTCCCCCTGAGGACACAGGTCCATAGCTTGGGGGTCCTCCTGGACTCGACACTGTCACTTGATGCTCAGGTGTCAGTGGTGGCCAGGAGGGCCTTTGCAAAATTAAAACTTGTGTGCCAGCTGCGACCATACCTTGTGAAGTCTGACATAGCCAAGGTGGTCCACACCTTGGTTACATCCAGACTGGACTACTGCAATGCGCTCTACATGGGGCTGCCCTTGAAGATGGCCTGGAAATTCCAACTAGTACAACGGGTGGCAGCCAGGCTCCTAACCAGAGCTAGCTATAGGGAGCGTACAACATCCAGCCAGCTCTACTGGCTGCCGATAAGTTGCTGAGCCAAATTCAAGGTGCAGGTGATGACCTATAAAGCCCTAAATTGTTCAGGCCCATTCTCTCTCCGCGATTGCATCTCCCTCTATGAACTGGCATGGACACTAAGATCCACCGGGGAGGCCCTCCTCTTGCTCCCACCACCGTCTCGAACCTGGTTGGTGGGGACAAGGAAGATGGCCTTCTCGGTGGTGGCCCCCTGCCTCTGGAATGCCCTCCCCAAGGAGATAAGGCTGGCCCCATCCCTCACCTCCTTCCATAAGAACTTGAAGACTTGGTGATTTCATTAGGCCGTTGATAATGACTAGTCTCAAGTCTCAAGCCCTTGGTCCAACAGTTAGGACTTTGCCTTGTACCCCAGTCCATCTATTCCCCAGTCCCCTGTCATCTGAGGGCACCTTTTCTACTGGCCCAGACCTTTTGTATAGTCCTTTAACTGGCCCTGGAATGGAGTGGTCCCCTAGTAGAGCCATTGCTG